TAAATGTTAAAATAAATCCAGCCAAGGAATACACTTGACTTGTTTCTCACTTGCGTCCCCAGCCAGCTGTCCCGCACCCACTTTCAAACATCCATTGTGTTACTCTTTGCTTCAGGATTGTCAAGCTTAAAATAAAACTTGAAATTGGAGCATCACGACCAGGTAGGAGAGAGACGCGGATACGATCTAGAGCAAGGAATTTGAGTTTAGATGTCTGAACGGTCTGAAACATGCACGTTTTGCATGTTCGGAACGATAAGCGGTGCACGGGAAACCGTATCTAAAAACAACTCGCAGCAAATGAGGATGAGGGATGTTACTCACTCGCATCATGTTCGAGTAGTCGAGATCGAAGAGCCACATCATGTTGCTTGAGTTCTTCTGACATCGTATTTGGTTTATAAACAGACAGACCTGGTGGGGAAGCTAATCATTTAGAGAAGTGCACTTAGAGGGGACTTAAAAAATAAATTTTTAAAAAAAAACAACAACTGGGGTACCAAATTTTCCGATTGTCTTTTTACAGACAGTTGATCGCCATAAAATATATTCCGCCAGAGATAGGGATTTAACTTACCTCACGCAGATCGCCTGATTGAGTATTTTTGGAGTTCTTCGCTAATGCTGCTTGGTGCCCCATTAACGTGTAGCAAATCTTTTCCCCCTGCCAACAAAACCAACATGGAAATGCAGTGCTTATCGCGAGTTCGGAGGTAGAAGTAAGTGACGCGGTGCTCTCTCACCTCGTTGCTCTCCCACCGGTACACGACAAACATGATGATGCAGCACACGGAATGGCACAGAGCGTCGAGCACCTGGGAAATCTGTCGGTACACATTAGGCCGAGTCTTTGCGGAACAAATTATCCACTTTGCAAAATAGTCCGACATCTGCAGGTTGCCGTAGAGGATGGTGGTGGCCAGGAGGGCGAGCAGGCGCCACTGGAACACGGCCGTGGTAGCGGCACTCATGTCGTGCAGGTGCTGTTGCCTCAGCCGGGCGCTCCGCCACTTGCACATCAAACTGGCACGCAAACATTGGATAAATAAAAACAAATCGAGCGCAAGAGACGACAATGAGAGAAGGATGTGGCCGCGTGCGCCGGAGTCGAGTGGGTGGCGTACCCGAGGGTCAACAAGAGTCTAGCGGGAAACACAGAGCAATTATCTGTTGTCTCGGCTATTTGCACACCCTTACCTGGAGTGTGAACACGATCGACCGGGCGACTCCGCCTCGGCCGCCAGCCGACTGCACTCCTGCCGCAGGTCGCTGGCCAGCGAGCCGATCACGGCTTTGGGCATGAGCGTGAGCGAGTAGGCCGAGCACCACTGCACGCCCACGGCCATCTGCATCACCTGGGAGAGAGACCAGCCTGGATCAGAAGCACGCTGACCAGGCGCTCTCTCCGCGTCCACGTCAGCTTAGCCACCTTCTCGACGTTCCAGGCGTTGTTGTTGGCGTCCAGCAGGCAGAACACGACCGCCAGGAACACGACCGCGACCATCACCAGGGCCACGATCGCGCGGTAGCCGAGCACCGACGGGGGGTGAGCGCGGCAGTACAGCAGCAAGCACCTGCGTCAGAACCGGCACTCTGATGTTGCATTGACATTCTCGTACTCGTATCGGACCACTGTGCTGCGGGCTTGCCTACTCCCTCCGCCCGGAGGGCGCCCTTGCGCAAGTGGGAGAACCTGCACGGAGGTGCGTACCTTTGAAGGTCGGACAGTGCAGCTCTTCCTGTTATAGACGAGAGCACTATGATTAACCTTGCCGCGACAAAGAAAACCACGGCGCCTGCTGAAAAACCTTTCTTCCATTGAAATTCGTGATAGGATGTGTTCTGCAGAAAAATATAAAAACAAACAGCGAAAATGATGATTTAGGGAAAGGTTTTGGTCGCGTCGCAGTTTACGTAGGTGAACGCGCCGTACCAACTCAAACAGCACCGTCACGGCCAGCCCGTAGCCGTAGGCCGCCCAGGCGGCCCAGGGCCGCGGGGCCGTGGGCCAGCCGCTCGCGGGCAGCACGCCCACCCACGTCGCCAGGACGCCCAGCCCCTTCTCGCTCAGCACCGCCACCCGCTGCCACGCCGTGGCCGTGCTGCCCATGGAGTGCGGCGCGAGCTACAACGCACAGCCAGCGCTTCAGGCTTCAGGGCACCAGGAACCGCAACGCACATCTGCGCGGCCAGCGATGGTCCGATGCACAACTACAAATCATTTAAGTGAATTTGTATTCGTAAAGAATGCATTTCCTCAGTCAAACGAAAATACCTGGCAACTGGAAATCACAACGGCGAACAGCGTGGTACGAATGTAGGAGCCTCGACCGCGCCATGGCCTCGAGCGACGACTGGCGGCCGTAGGCCACCCGCGTGCGGCGGGCGGCCGACTCAGCGCGGCGATCGAAGAAGCAAACAACGAGAACACTCCTTCTCTCTCACCGTGATTATCACTTAAGACACACATTCATTGTACAAGAAGGAAGTTTTACTCTTGCCAAGTGGGAGGTCTAATGCATGTCAACGCTGACTCAAAGAAAACCCACCGTGTATGGCTTTGAATTGTCCCTTTACCGCGCGCACTTTTTGTATTAATATTGTACGGCATACAAGCAGGAGTGTCGATTCCTCAAGAAACTTTAAAAAATACCGATACAGATTTCATAGCGCTACCGTTGATGCCCGCCTGGACTATGAGTGCGACGAGTACGACGGCCTTGCTGGATCACCATACGGTACTCGAAAGAGAACTGCCCACCTTGCTTACTCTATAGTGTGCTGCTCAGGCGAGGGGGGGGGGGGGGTCCCCCCCATCGGCTCTAGTGAGCCGCCTGAAAGGTAGGCAATCTGTGTCCAGTAAACCCCTGTAAGTAAGCAACCCCCGGGTCACCGCCCCCTGTCAGCCGGACCTGCGGCTATTGCAGGGCCAGCTGTGACAATAGTTCCTCGCGTGCGGCTGACACGTAGCGGCAACCATCCATAGAAGGGCGACTAGTTCACAACTGGTAGTAATTTGACTAAATACGTAGACATACTTGCCCCCTCCAAAGTGCGAGTGTCCACTGGGGCGGTCCTCCACCTGTGGCATGAGGACATGAGAAAGCGAAACCGTCCCGGTACATACGCAATGATGATTCCGCACACAATCTCAGAATTTCTCTCGCGCAGTTCGAGATGGCGCAAAGCCCCTCTCGTAAGCCGTATTGGAGTGTGGGATTTTCTCACAACTGTCTCTGACTCTTCACTCCAAAAGATTATGTTGCGTTTTTTTATTCGCGCGTCTCAAGGACCGTCTCTCGGATTGCGCCATGCCCACTATACTACGAGACGCATATCAAGTGGCCGATTGCAACCCGACATTGCCTAATGACACTTCATACAACAGTGGACCGTTTCACACGAACTGGCGTTGAATGTTCGACAGAGCGACGCCTTATCTGTGCTGCAACTTTTAGTACTTAAGAGGGACGGCTCGGACTGGAGGCAGTGTCCCCCACGATGTCACAGCGGTGTGTTCTCTTGGTGCTGCTCTCCGCAGCCGCGTTGGCGAGCAGCGCGACGGTGCAGCCGCGCCGGCCCCGCCTGCAGTACACGGAGAGCGAGCCGCTGCCGGCCGACTTCCTGCTGGGCGCTGGCACCTCCGCCATACAGAGCGAGGGCGCCCACGACGTGGACGGTGAGCTCAACTAGCCAAGCGTTGGCTGAGAGAGCTGAGAAATTAGCCATGGCAGAGCGAAAAAAAACGTAGCAACTTGCTGTGAAGGCTAAATGAGGTATTTTCCGAATTAGAACGACCAAGAGGAATATCGTCTGCTCCCGGACCATCACGAAGCCTCGACCAATCAGAGAGAGCCTCTCTCGTGGCCGGCTCCAGAAAGGCCGTCTCTGATTGGTCGAGGCTTTGTGATGGTCCGGGGGCAGACGATATTCCTCTTGTTCTTCTAATTCGGAAAATACCTCATTATCCTTGCTCTCTTAGTTAATTATTATTAGCTAAGTTAATACGGTCGAATTAGCGAATGCATCAACTATTTTATCTCATTCATATTGTGTGTGCTCATGAGAAAGTAACGCATGGCCGTTTCTCTAATCGTAGGCAGAGGAGAAAGCATCATCGAATACATCATGTACCATAATATGAGTGACGCACCTGGCAGCAACTGGCCGGCCTTCGTCAACCCCGGTAGAAACGCCGACTCGTACCACATGTACAAGGAAGACGTCGCAGCGGCGAAAGCACTCAAGGTAAAACTTAAGACTCAGAAAAAATAAAAAAATAAAAGAACTGCAGTAGTTGATGGCATTTTTCATGAATTCGGATCTTCGGATTTACAAACTATATGCTGTAAATTTACAATATCCAATTCTTGAATAAAATGTTGATCTAGTCGAATGAAGTATGGATTTACCATTTCCAGCTCCAAGTGTACCGAATATCTATATCGTGGCCCCGGATATTCCCGGATGGTGACGTAACAAAGCCTAATGCCAAAGGTGTCGAGTTCTACAAAAATTTCATCGAAGAAATATGTAACGCAGGAATGCAGCCTATGGTAAGTAACACTCACGCTAAAACGTATAAAAAGAAAATGAAACATAGAAAATTTGCAAAATGACGTTCAATAGTCTATGTTCGAAGCTTGGCAAGAAAGTCCGTTCAGTGGTGGTCACAATAGTCGATAACTCGATGACAGCGAACAACTTTCTATCTTTTTAGCACACACGCAATCTTTATACCACACCGTAAGAAAGTTGGCCACATTTCTTTCAGGTGACGATGTACCACTTCGACCAGCCTTTCGAAATGCTCAAACGAAACTTAAGCTGGACGAACAGGGACAGTAGCGGGATTGTCGACAACTTCGTAGACTACGCCGACTTCTTGTTTGCAACTTACGGCGACAAAGTAAGTTGAAGTCATCTTATCAATAACACCACCGCCTGCGGACTGTGCTGCAGCTCGTGTATCTAATCTTACAGGTGAAGTTGTGGACGACTATCAATGAGCCCAACTATTACTGCATCTCTTTCGCTGTACTTGACATCCCTGGGTTGTACACGCGCGGCATCGCGGACGAGTACAATTGCATTCACAACACAGTTCTGGCGCACGCTAAAGTCTACCGTCTCTATGAGTCGAAATACCGTCTAAAGCAAGGAGGTAAGAGCCAACAACATTTTGCGCATTTTCTAAGCCACGCTCATGGTTTTTTTTATGCGTAGTGATGAAAAATTAAATTACTAACGAAGGTGATTGTTCTAACTGTTGTTTTGTCTCCTAGGCCAGGTCGGCGCGGCCGCCCTGACGCTCTGGGGGCGCCCCAACTCCACGTCGTGGGACGACATCGAGGCCGCCGACCGCCTCAACATATTCGGTCTGGGCTCCATCTACCACCCGCTGGTGTACGGCGAGTACCCACCCATCGTGAGGGAGCGGGTGGACCGCTACAGCAAGCAGGAGGGTCTCGCCGAGTCCAGGCTGCCCCACTTCACCGAGGAGGAGAAGCTCATGATCACTGGTAGGCAGGCAACAAACTGGAGCAAGAGGGGGGGGGGGGAGAGTCACGTCACCCACGGGTAGAGACAGTCTTGGCGACTGTCCAAAAATACTCTCCACAATTTACCGCTGAAGGGTGTGAACTTGAGCCTGTGTCTACGCGGACAAGCTGGCGAGTTGCCCTCTATGACTTGGCGCAGCACTGATTGATAACAAGCGAATCCACTGCTGCAGGTGCCGCCGACTTCCTCTGCTTCAACGCGTACTTCGGCTCCAGGATAGTGGACGGGACGCACCAACCCCGGCCCCGCTACGGCAGGGTGGTCAACGACAGGGACGCCATCGAGCTGGAAGCTGCCATGGTTAACGGCAGCCGCGACTTCAGATACATGTTCATGAAGGTAAGCGAAGCGGTCCACTGTCGCAGAGCAGAACGATTATTTCCATGGAAAATTAAATGACGCGTTTTCGCCAGAGTTCCTCATTACTTCCAGACTGACAAACTTGTCTCAACTTTTCTGTTTGTTTTCTGTAGCCCGAGCCCAGTGTCCTCTGGGAGGCGTCGAGATGGATCTGGAGGAACTACAAGCTGCCCGTATTCATAACCGAGAATGGCTGGGGCGATGAGAGGACCAACCATGACCCTCGAGACGACGAACCCAGAATGGCGTACCACAGCGTAAGTATAGTGAAAGTGGGGACAAACTTGTCGACACCAAGCTGGCGGACGACTGACTGAGCTCTGTCCGCTGCAGTTGTATATCCGCGAGCTGCTCCGAGCTGCCAAAGAGGAGGGCGTCAAGGTCATGGGCTACATCGTGTGGAGCCTCATCGACACGTACGAGTTCACTGGTGGCTTCACGTAAGTACGGCGCGCCTTTGAAACAGTTTGCTGGGCGATGCCGTCGGTCGCCGCCTCATGTTCTGCGTTGACCCACAGGCGCAAGTTCGGGCTCACGCACGTCGACTACGAGGGTGGCACGCTGAAGCGGACTCTGAAGAAGTCGGCGAGCTTCTTCCAGGAGGTGGCCGAGACGCGGCGGGTGCCGGTCCTCGAGTACACGTACGTGGACGAACCGGTGACGGACAGCCCGACCTCCCCGCCCGCCCCGACCGCCCCGGCCCAGGCTGCCACGACGCCCAGCCCAAGCTCAGCCAGTACCGCCGCACACACCCCTGCCGTTGCCGTTCTAGTCTTATTGGCTCTCGCTAGAATATTAAACT